GGACACCTTCCACTAGACCAGGTTGCTCCAAGTCCTGTCCAACCTGGCTTTGAACACTGCCAGGGATGGGGCATTTTCTATGGAACTACCATTAAACATCAGTAACATCCACCACAGGCAGAAACAGCACATTATGAATGCACATAAAACTGCATTTCTGTATGAGCAGAACTGAGCACAAGCTACAGGAAAGCAATTCACATCCAAATATGTACAAGGAGAGGATATTCTAACAGCTCATTTGGGCAGGTGAAGTGAGGAATCAATTTCAAACTATGCAGCCATCTACACAGCTGATTTGGAAATGATAATACCCTGGCTCTGAAGAAAGGAATGCCACTACTTCTGTCATCCAAACAGACATGCCAGAGCAAGGGACAGGATCTCAGAGCTTTTTATTCCCCCTTTTTTCATTTTAACTCCCATTCGCAATACAGTTGAGCATGTTCCTCCACAGAAAATATACAGTACTGCTTGTAGGATTAAAAACACTATGCACATTTTAAAAGGAAGCTCAAAAAAGTATACCAACATTTCTGACACCACAAATGGCTTACCAACCACATATTATTAAATGTTTTCTGTTCTTTGATGCCCCCCAAAATTAAATGCATTCAAGCCTCTACCCTGGTAGAATAACCTCTCAGTCTGCAGTCCTCCTGACTGTGCAAGCTGGGTATTAAAATCATCACTTGGTGAGGAGTCCCTAAGGCACAGGGCACAGACAGCCTGGGGGAAGGGAAAGCTCCAGAAACAGACCACAAATGGAAGGGAATGATGCTCCGCTCAGGATCCACTGTACCACTTTAAAGGAGGATGGCCAGTGCTGGGCAGGCTGCTGAATCCCAGGATTACTGCACCGATTACAACTTCTCCCATCCTGCTTCATCCCATAAACTGTGAGCTGAAGTTCCCATTTTCCCATCTCTCCCACATCTCTCCCAAGTCACATGCAGTGGACATGCTAAAGCCAGACCTATGATGATCAGGAATTTCATAAATGCAGACTGGACATCTCTGCTTTAGACTAAAGGGAGAGCAGTATTTTCCAGACTCATGTTTCTAATAAAATGTTTACCAAAATCTTTCTTATCTTAGACTAAAAGTGGTCTGTACTTAACTCTTTTTACTTCTATGCTTACACACTTACCACTTGCCTTCATTGTAGGTAATGCTGGAGAATTGGACAGATACTTTGCCTTCCAATTACTACGGTGGATTGTTTGAGTAACAGATCATTTAAGCTCTTTCCTACCAGCACCTGAAATTTATTTTACACAAAGTGCACAGAATTCAGCTGGGATAGGGTAAAGCAGCCCAGGAACTGATCACCACTGTGTGGAGGACGACTTGAGGAAAGCAGCAGGATGGCTAGAGGAAAAGTAGGTGGCAAAATATCCAACCTCACTGTATTTATCACAAGCATAGCTCTTACAGCCCGCTGTAGTTATTAATAACAGCCATTTACCATACTAGTGACTATTTACCATACAGTACAAAACTCTGATAGCCACAGCTCAATGTTTTCATTACAAAAGCTTTTATACACAAAGTTTCTTTATCAAGTGCGTATCAACTGGCAAGAGTTTACACATTTAAAATAAACACTAATAGGTTGTGCTCAGTCGTCCTGTTCTCAAAAGAATTACCATAAAAGAACAGTAATGTGGAAGTACAGTGCGCAGCGTGCAATAAAACCATGTTCATTTCCTACCTCATCTCATTCTGCAGCACTCCTCTCCAGCTGAACAGGAAGACTACTTTCATTTGTTTTTAAGTAATTGAGAAACATTTCAGCTCCTTATCAGCTCTTCAATCCTTTTTCCTTTCACACATTCCCTAGAATTGTTGCCAACAGGGTATTTATAAAGATTCAGCCTAACAAAAATACCCTAGCAAACAATGTTGCAGACAAAAAAATCAGCAGCTGAAGAAGCTGTTATGCAGAGAAGACTTAAAGAGACAGATCTTTCTTTAAACAGAAAGAATAATTTAAATTGTCTTACATAGAGGCCAGAGCTGTGTAAGGGAGCACTTCCTACCCCTGGACCAGTACCTCCGGCAGCAGCCACATACCTTTCCTCTATTGGTGGAAATGCCTGTTTATTTTGGAAGGGTTTTGTGCTCCACATCAGAAATGGAAACATTCAGCTCCGGCTGAGGCCTCAGAGCAATATTTAACTGACAACACACCATGTACACACACCCACAGGAAACCTCTTTCCTCCTTACCAGTTTCTCTTTCCTGAGGCCTCAGCAACTGAACATGCAACAGCCCGTATCACCTTACAACCACTTGTAACAACTCATACAAAACATAGGAGTTAATTGTTAGATAGGACACTAGATCCACATTTCCCATTGTGCTACAGAAATACATTTAAATCCTAATAGTCATTAAAAAAATAAAAAACACCGTGATCACGTGGCAGGTTTCAAGTACAGAAGCCAACTGGAAGGGCTAAGCTTTCTTACCATCATGTCCCACTGTTTGTCCATTCCTAGCTACTCCAAGAGAGTGCTTTCTCCTTCAAAAATACTGCCAAGAGCAAACAAGGAACAATAAAACATACTGTCCCCCATCAGCTGAAACCCTTCCATATCCCATCTCCAGTTGTATAACTTATTTTTCTCCTGTATGACCCGAAGCATCTCCCATTGCTATAGCAACCCAGCTGCAGAAGTGAATGACACATACAGAAAAAGAAGCAATGTCTTTTTCTAAGTTACCACAAGCAGCTACATTAAGTCATATTTATAAAGATCCTACCTACCAAAAACTGGCAGTAGGGATATTTTGCAAAAGGGATATTCAGCCCCAACCCAGTTTTAAGCTTTAGCACATCCTGTCCATTGGCACGCGCCTGCTGTGGTCAGTAGACTCAGTTTTACAGTGTTGACCTGTCTTTAGAATGAATTGCCTAGATATGAAATAAATCTACCAAATTCAATTATAATTCCTGCATTGCCTTTTAGTTCTAGTAGCATTTGTCACTCAACCTTGAAAATAAAAATAAAATACTTGGAGCAGTACTGCAGTAAAGTTTACAGTCATCTTCAAATACTCCATGAAAAACATTCAGCCAATTTCTTCCTCTTGTTGAGTATTTCTGTATTTGAAGACATTTCTGATACCTATCATAAGCTTTTGTACATCCCTCCTCGAGGTAAATGGAAGAGAACAGTATAATGAAGAAGAAATAAAACATTCACACAGACCAACCTGCAGAGCAACTAATAGCTACCCGCCAAAGGAAATGAGAAGAAGGTTCATCAACACGACTGTAAATAATCACTGTCCCCTGCACTGCACATAACAGGAGAGGTCTGGTTTCTCTACAGGCCAGGCCAACTCTTTCCAATGAAGTCTAACTACAAAAAGTTGAATTATTGCTTCTGACAGATGAACAGTAAAAGCCAGAACTGTTTAATCTTTAACATAACTACCTTTATTTCCTGTTTTCTTCTTCCCAAGTCTATTCTCTAGCAGCAGCACGGGACACTTAAATACAAGAATAACGGACAAACAAAATTCAAGCTTTCAAAAAACAAACTCTCAAGTCTACCTGAAAAACTGGAGTTACTCCCATACTACTCTCAAAAACATTAACTTGCCATTTTCAAGCAATGCAAACCAAAGCTGTCACAACAAAAACAGAAACATCCCACAGGGGAAAGCAGAAGAAACTGTGTATTTCAGTGTCAACAGAAATGAAGAGCCACTGTATTAACATGTGAAAATGAACTTTATAGAACAGTGAAACCTTTTCACGCAAAAACAAGCCTACAGAGAGAACAAAATATGTAATACTGGGGAGCCAAATATTCCATTTAGATAGAAATTGCTCTAACGCGTCTAAATTCCAAATTTCTTCATGTACTTCAGATTTTGAGGGGTTGTTTCTTCTGAAGGCAAAATTTACTGTTACAAACTACATGAGATCTCACAGGGCAGATGAAACAAAATTCTGACTCAAACTTCCTCATTTCACACTTTCTACGTAAGAAAAATTTAGAACGGACAGAGTTCCAATAAATTACTTGTTACAGTTTCTTCATTGCGTAGTTACAACTTTATCTTTCTGAATTCAGTATTACTGAAGCAATACTTAATTTCTGCTCTATGAACACATAAAAAGAGTTTGAAACATAAGTTGTTTTGTCAACCCCATATGTTACACTTGGCTCTGCTCTAATTCCCAGTCTTTGGGAATCTGGGAAGCTCTACTTGCCTGTCTGTCACCTAATAATCCAGCAATAAATAACTCATTCACAACTGCTCCACAGCCCTGAGTCTTGTGTGCTGCCATGTGAATCAAAGGACAGACTAGATAAAATATCTGTAAGCCAGAAGAGAGGCATCACCTCAACTCTTTTCCTTGCCTCTTTTAAGGCCATAGCTTCATTAACATTTCTCTTGAGGCACTTCAGAGTTCATTGCCCCAGAGAGGAAACGTCTTGCATTTCTGCTGCTTCCTGGGCTATGCTGCAAACCGGTTTAATTCACTTACCAAATAGAAAATCCACACAGAAGGGAAAAAAAGGCAGCTGTGGAAACAGCTTTTTCTTAGGTTCAGTGAATTGAGTTTACTTGCTAAATTGAGCTGAATCCTGAACGCCGGAGGAAAGATTTACCCTTCTGGGTGGCAATTAGTTGATTTTGAAATAGATAAATAACTAGTAGCAACTAAATGGAAAACTACATCTGTCTCAACATGACATAAGATATGACATACATTGTGTTATGTTTCACAGGAATTTAATCCATATATTCCTGTCAAAAGTGTTCCACGATACCCAGCAAGATAAGCAAAGAAAAAGCTTACACTGTGACTCCCAACATATACCCAACTCCTCCAACAAAACTTCAAGAACAAAACTATCCTAGTAAGATACACTCTCCCCCTTAAAATGACACAAAGAATAAAGAGTGTAAGCACAGTTTTTAAACAAACTTACAGAAATATCACAGCGTTCACAAAGAATAAACGTGACTTTACCTTTGGTTTTTTGTTCAGCAGCCTGAAAGAAGAAAAGAACAAAACCAATCAACTACTTGTCTATACTCAGAACGATACCTAACAATTATAGGGCTTCAGGCCTAACTTTCTGCAGCAACTGCTTGCATAAATGAGGCATCAGCTTCAATGAAGGACTGAAAAATGAGAGTTTAACTCTAGGAATTAGGAATGTAAGGAAAACTGATGCCAAAGAGACAGTACAAAACCTGGTGAGCAGTCTGGCAGTGCCCCATCTACCCACCCAGCCTTCTGCCACTTCAGAGGCTTCCTGAACCAAACAGTTCAGGCATGAACTTTTAAACACTCAGAAGAATTAACTTCATGACTTTGTGCAGTATCCCTCTGAATCCATACAAACTATTCACCTACACAGATTAAGTGCACATTTTTATGAAGACTCATCTTTTTTTTTTCCTGTTTGGAATCTACCCACTTTGTTGATGCCAAATAATTTTTATACTGGAAAAGACAGTGATCAATTCCTGCCCACCTCCTAAGGGCTATTTAAGATTAGAACTGTGTAATCCAGAAAATGTGGCAGGAGAATGCACACCACAGGAAATGTGCAACGGCCTCTGAATCTTGCGCCAGTTCAGTACCAGCTGAGATTAATCCAGCTGAATTTACATTGCCATGGAAGAGGAATGCTCATGTGAGACAGTGCTGGGAGCAGTAACATCAGGAGATGGTAAGAGCTTGGGGAGTGCTAAGAAACTGCCACAACTGCTCTTGCAGGAATTTTCTGAGCCCAGCCTCACTCAAAGTCTACAGGACAGGCCACCTGTGTCAGAATTAGTCAAGGCTGCCGGGTCAGTGTCTCTATGTTACACATAAAAGTGAATATTTAATTTAAAAAAGTAACATGAACAAACCTTTTTCTGAGCACCTTCCTTCTTTTTCTTTTCTTCCTGCTTTTTCTTTTTCTTTTCTTCCATCAAATGTTCCTCTTCTTGTGTTTCTTGTTCTTTCTCCCTGATAAGAATAAAGGTTGGGAAGGACTTTTCAGTAAGATAAAAGTTTACCTAGGAAGGTTAATAATTCATACTTATATTGCTGACTTTCTCCACCTCATGCCTAAAAAAGGCTGCTGAAATAAACGCATTGAAAAAAGCTGTTTCAAAATCAAAACCAGTGACAAATAAAATAGTAAGCAATGGAAATTCAGAAAGAATCAATTTGGAACTTTTTTCCACAATCACTCGAAAGTGCTACTTAACAGTAGCACATTCTAGGGAAAGAAAGTTTCAAACTGAAAAACAGAGAAGTAACCCAGGTGGTTAATCCAAGTTCTGCTGCTTCTCAACAGCTACATTTCACAATATACCTTGAAGATAATGAGTGAATTCAGTACTTCCCAACTATTCTTCTTACTCTGATAAAACATATCCTGTATTCGTTTCTCATATGCATTAGTTTTGTTCTCAAGAAGTTGTAAACCCAAGCCCAGATGAATTCAAGTAATCGTATTTTGTGCTCATCCTATAAATTCTATCTGAAGAATTTGCAGGAATGCAAAACACAACTGTTACAGTAGCATCTTGGTTAAAATTTAACCTAAGTTATACCAAATCAAGAAGATCTATAGGAAACCTCACCATCCTTGCTTTGTTTGTCCATCACCATAATAAATGGTTGTAACAACGACCCTCCCCAACATCCTTTCAAATAAATACCAATGCACGTAATTCATTGACTTCTCTGCAACCATTTCATCTTCCTTGACAGCTCTTCAGGTCCTGACCATTTATCAGCCTTACAGATCTTCTGAGAAAACTCCATTTCTGATGGGCTAAAACCACGACCATTACTATTATTAGATTTGATGTCTCCCTGTTACTCGAGATCGCTTGTAGCCTAACTTCTTATTACTTAACTTGCCAAAGCTCACAGTCCTCCTTTATTTTTGGTTGGGAGTGGGTAAAGAAGATCTTGGTAATTACGTAATTACAGACTTAGAACAGGTCTGCAGGGGCTGGGAGTTCTTTATGTAAAGGAGAAACAGATTTTGCACATCATGTCTTCAAACATTCCCCTGTCACATTTTCCCGTTCAACTGTGCCATTATTTCCCTTTAAAATGTTTGTACATTATTACATAGTTTCCCTTTTTATTAAAAAAAAAAAAAAGGAACACTGTAGTCAATTTTTTTTGAGATTTTGGCTCTTGATGGGTGGTTTAGGTTTCACTTTTTTCATTTGCTTGAGAATACTGGGTCTGGCCACTGCAGATGCTCTCTTCCTTGCAGAGATGCTGCACAGTGCTCCAGACCAAACTGAAGGCAGCTTCCCTTCCCTTGTGCTACCCCAGACAATAAACATCGCACTGATCAACCCAGAGGTCTGAACACAGGGGTTTCTTTTCTTTTAGACACCTGACAGCACTCAAACTATTTACAGAACTGACAGATACAGCAGGCCCCAAAGCCTGGAATAGCACCTGGAGGTCAGGCACATCTGGAAGTGCTTGGCGCACAACTGGAGGTCAGGACGTGGAAAATGGCATTAGGTATTTGTATTTTAAATGCTATATCACTTTCTGTCATGAGCAAAAATTCATCACCTGCATGACTGCTCAACTGCGTGCCAACTTCAAAGGGCCACCTTTCAAATACTGTGCTGTAAATCAGTGAGAAACATTGGCTCTGAAGAGCTGCAGGTGGGTATTAGCATCACATACTTAACACTACACTTCAGAAAAGGGTACTTGAAGTTGCACTTTTAAATGGCTTGTTCTAGGACTTTGCAGAAAGTGATGACTGACTTTACCACAAGAAACGGAGCTGAAACCATAACAGATCTGCCTTTAGTCTCGTTCACTCCGGAGGAGAACAGAAGTCCCCAGGATTTCAGTCACTACAAAGTAACAACATCCAGTCCCTTCATTTCCAGTGCTCCCTACCCAAGTCACATCAGACTCTACAAAGCCCACCTCTTCAAGGGAACTCTCCCAAACTCTCATGCTATTGCCAAGGGAAGTTTCAGCCTTTTTTTGTGTTTTTAAAGCAGGTGAATGAAAGGAGGAACTTTCTGGTTTTCCATTCCTAGTACTTAAGAAAACCTGTGACATTACAGCAACTCCAGGCCACCACAATGGCATTTAAACCCAATTCAATAGTCAGTGCAGTATTTAAAACAAAAACCCACCATCGGTACTTTGCTTAATGTGCAGGGGTTTTTAAGCTATTAAAAGTAGCTAATTCCCAACTTTCTTATTAAGTTTCCCACACACAGACAAGTTCCTCTCATGGACTCACAGAATCCCAGGTTTGAAGAGACCTCAAGAACCATCTGGTCCAACCTTTCCCAGTAAAAGCATGGTCCAGACTAGATGGCCCAGCACCCTGTCCAGCTGAATCTTAAAGGTGTCCAGTGTTGGGGATCACCTTCCATCCCTGCCAAACTCTCATCTCGTACCACGGACTCCACTATCAACTGCTCTTTGTCCTCTAAAGGTGGTTCTGTTTTGCTGCTTTTCATGCAACATTATGTTATTCCCTCCCTTACACAGGTAATACACCATGCTAGAAGATTTTCCAAATCAAACAAGAGCAAACATTTTGCTCCATTAAAAATACAATGTATTTTATTATCATATCAATTACAACATAAGAAGTAGAAGTGCCACTCCTAGAGAAAACCTGTTTGGGTTTGTTTAGGGGTTTTCTTTCTTTCCTCAGATTAAATTCACCTCAGATTACCTCAGAAAATGATACTGTAATTTTTAATGGAGTTCCATTATCAAACCTGATTTACATAATGACACTTCTGAACACATGTGCTTTAAATGCGCTTAAAATAGAAATAAAGCTCCAAGTGGCCTCTCAGCAACTCTCGCTGTCGCTTCTAGGCAGAAATTAGTCATCCAAGAGCAAAACAAAAGGAAAACAATAAAAACATTGCTACATAAAGTTTGACTACATTGTCAAAGGCATGTGTCGCAGTCTCACTTCCTGAGTGACAATTCAATCTTTATTACAGGAAATATGCTAAAAAAGTTTATGAATACAAAGCTCATATGATTTAAACCAGAACTGTCTTAGAATATACTTGTAGGAGTTTGCTTTTTTCATGTATATATAGATCTGATGTATCAGAATCACGGGGGATGAGCAGAGAGCAAAGAACTCTACTATAGCATCAAGTGTTCCTTTTATAGATTACAATTAGCTTATCAAATCAAACCTAAACCAAGGTTAGCTTTGAAGGACCCACGCTTAAGAGCTCTCTCTGAATAGCAAAGCAAGCCAAAATGAAATGCAGGTCACGGTCAGCCAGCCTGACACAACTACAGCTGTGTCCTGGCAATGCCTGTAGTAGAAAGGCTTAATAATCCCTTCAAAAACTATCAAATTAACAAATCTATGCTGATTTTACCTTTTAAGGTGAAGAGAGAACTTCAGTTTTCTAGCTGATACAAGACACTGGACTGCTTTCACATCTGAAGCCACTGCCGGCATTCTGAATTAGCACTCATATGACATTCTAACAGGATTTTGGAATACACCTTTTGGGAATATCATTTTCTTAAAGTAGGCACTATTTGTGTTATTCCATGCAAGGTTATCTATTACCCATGCAGTGTTTTAGTGTTCAGTAGTTCCTGCAATGGCCAAGGACTAGACAGAGACCTGTTTCTCTTGTCCCTCCATGTGACACAGCTCCAAATCTAGCCCTAATGAGTTCTGTTTGCATAGATTTAAGATACTGAAGGTATATTTATTTACATAGGAAAAGTGCCTGGAATACCTCTTCAAAACAGCATTCTGACCTTGGCCTACAGATGCCTTTGCCTGGTTTAGCCCAATGAGATAACAGCTCCCATAGCTTAATTATGGAATGTCTTTCTTGCACCTTAAATTCACAGCCTACTTCATGCTGGAAAAGCTGGCAGTCGTGAAGATCACCAGGAATCTAAATGACAATGCAACACGTTAATGTTAAGCAGGAATCCCACATAAAGCGAGAGGTCACTGGATCATCAGCAGCCTCTGTTTTCATGACAACTAGAACAGGGAAACTAAAACCCTACACCTGCCTCACGCTAATTTTGCTTCCTGCTTCATCTTTATCCAGCCCAGCTCCCTGTGGCCTTTCTGGGTAAATACTGGTAAAGGCAATGAGCTGGTGTGACTTTAAAAGTGCAGCTTTTTTTCCCTTGATAGAGGCTCAGTCATTAATCATGAAGAGTCAAGCTGGTCTGCAATCACAAGCTCTTCAATCGCCTCAAAAGAGAAAAGAAGCACGTAAAACTAGCTCAAGTAAGAAAGAATATGAAAAAAAAACAGCACAAACACATGGGGATGAAAATGAGGAAGGCCAGCAATGTATTAGCATTGCGCACATAAAAAGTAACAATAAATCAACCTTTTAGTGCTTCATTAATGAGCAAAGGGAAGCATTAGCTTTGATACTTGGTAGGAAAGCAGGACTATTGACAGATGACCCTGTGAGGGGTAAAGCGATAGTGCTGCTCTTTCTGCTTTAGCCTTCCCTAAAGAGGTCAGCTGAGAACAGATGGCCAACAACCATCTGAACTGGTGCTGAGCCTGCAGATGATGACAGCTTCACAGAGGGATTTCAGAGTGCTCTTCCCCGTGTAGGGAGGCTTCACCCCACACTGGCAGCAGGACAGCAAGGAGCCACCAACCAACCAACCCGCTCCAGGATCTCTGACATTTGTCATTCTGGTTTCCTCACCCAAAAGGGCTGGATACAATTGCAAGCAAGAATCTCAAGATGTGCTTCTAAGTCCTTCTTTCCCCAAATTTGAGAAGAAGGAATGATCAAACTTGTCAGGAGAAATTCCACAAGCTGGCAAGGAAAAAAAGGAGATGGAACTAAATATTTTGCTACTACTCCCAACAAGAAACCAGGCCAGCAAAAATAAGAACAGCTTAAAAAGGCCCCGGAGATAAATCTGGTGTTTCTCTGTTGGCTGGTCCTGGTATAATTTACCATAAGACCAACTGTGTC